CCACAAGGGCTTGATATCCCGTCAACAAAGCTGTGACACGCAGGCTCGACACTTCAGTCTTCACTCAGTGCGATTAGGCTTCTAACAAGGTAATAAAAAATAGCCTTTTATGTTTTACACATTCAACCAACAGCAGCTTTTCGCAAAAACGCATAACTACGTTTTTTGGTAGACGACTCCGTTTACTTATTGTTGTGAACGAGGGCCTTTTTCGAAAGTTGTTCTGGACTGGGAAAGGATCGAACCACTTTTCTTCACCTCCGGACGCAATGTGTTACTGCTACACTACTGGTTATTGTGCTCCAGGTTCGGCCTGGTAGAACATCTATTGTGCATCTGTCTTTCAAGGTAAAGTACAGCTTTCTTCTCTTTTTCTTTGTGGTAGCTTTTTGGCCGGTTTTTCGCGAGTTATCTGTGACATTTATTTTCAGAAGTCAAGCCTCGAAATTCAAAAAATTCAACATACATCATCCCATTCATTACTTCCTTTAAATGATGGAAATGGATTTTCCTTCTTTTTCTCAATCCAATCCTATAAAGAAAGAACTGTGCATGAGGTAGAATTTCGTGAAATTACACAACATCAATGGGTCATTAAATCAATTTTCAAGCCTTTCAATATCGTCACGCAAGAAACATCAAAGATTTGCTTCAAGGACATGACATCCCGTTAACAAAGCTGAGGCACGCAAGTTCGACACCGCATCTCCACCTGATGCGATTAGGCTGAATATTGTTCACGTACTGACAAGGTAAGAAGCAGTCATGTATCTTCTGTTAATTCAGCCCCTTTAACAGCAGCTTATCGTAAAAACGCCTAACCACAGCTTCTAGTGGGCGCTTCTTTTTACTCAATCGTCCCTAAGAAATCAAGCCCCGAAATTCGCAAAACTCAACATACATCATCTTCCCACTTATTGCTTGCTTTGTATAATGGGTATGGCTTCTTTTTTTCGATCCAGCCCTGCAAAATATCTCAAAACAATTCGAATGCATGAGTTAAAATTCTATAAAATTACACAGCAACAATGCGTAATTTAATTTTTCAGCCATCTGCATGGTAACCAGCGCTCCTAATAACAGCGTTTCTTCTGGCGTATGTGGAGTCAGCCGTCTGTCAAAACTGGCCATCTGCTAACCCACACAAGAAAGGCACATTTGTTTCCAAAGGACACGAACGCTAAAACATTATTGGGCTTGTAGCTAGAACCGAAAGTTATGTTCTTCATAAAGCATCAGTTAGTATTTTGCTTAGTTACGTCTTCATTTTGCAATATGAAAATAGGAGCTGCATAGTGCTTTAAAAACCAATACACGTGCAATTTTCAGATCTTCACCAGACAGAACGTTACAGACTGAGAGATGTTGTTAATATCAAGAACACTCAAATCACCCATCCAATCGATGTGGGCATCCCATCTAAAGTGATGCTACTGGGAAGCTACCACATACCGCGAACAGCTGTGCGAGATCCTTCGGTGTATACACCCAGCAAGTACCAGACGTCTATTCGATGTGTGCGGATCACCTCTTCCGAGGCCCTCAATTAACCTCTTGATCACACTCTCCACCTCTTTTGGGACTCCATGAAAACAGGCAGCGGCAAGAAGCTTCCCTCACGCAGTCTGAAGTGAATAAGAGAAAGCAGCCATTGGGATGAAAGGATTTGTTCAAAAGCCTTGAGAAACCGAAAAGAATAGGCAGCATCTAGCCAGCTCAGTCACCGCTGGTCAGACTACTGGAATGCATACACCCAGAACAATGCAGCTTTTTTATAAGCACTATCGCAGTTTTCTTCACAAAATTAGTCTTCTGGCATTTATGACTATCTGGTACTATTTCAACCATAAGACGTTAAATTCAAGACGGCTATGTAGGAGTCACAGCAAACGACATTCCCCCACAGTACTCTTCTTATCAAGGTGATACTTAAAGGCCTGTTGGCGACAGGTTGCTTGGCAATCACATGCACAATAATGTACCTCTTCAAAGGATGGAAATTCACGTCCAGTGAGAACAGGACCACCACGCCCTGAAAATATAAGGAATGCAATAAATTTTTACACTTTACACAGTTTTCCGCTCTTTTCAACCATCCCAAATTTGCAGCTGTGTGATGATGTAAACAAATCTTGTGGAAATTAAAAAATTTATGTAAAATGGATTTTTTCTACAAAAGCAAAATTCACAACAATAAACCTGCACGAGTTCCAAATGATGTGTGAATGCCGCGTCTCGGAGGCCGATTGCGACTTCTGGCCCGTCCATCTCCACCGCTCCAAAATTTGTTCTGTCTGTCAGGACGACTCTCTTTTCCACCTCGCGTAGCACCACGCCCAGCCACACCGAAGCCACCTCGACGAGGACGACCACTGCCTCGTTCATCTCGTCGATTACCACCTTCCGCACGGCCCCAACGAGTGCTGCTTTCGCTTCTCAAATAGTTTTATACAGAAGTACAAAGAAAATTTTTTCTGAAGCATCCTTGCAACATGGCTTTTGAGCCTTCCTACGTTCCAGAGTACACTGGGCCGCTGCATTCTGAAAACCGCTATGTCCAGCCAGTTCTCCAAATGCAGGGCGCGGAGTACACAGTCTTTCAATTAGAACATCCGTCCAATAGCTCCAACGTAATCGGGAACAGTGCTTAATGCAAAGAGTTGTTCATCACCTGCCGGAGGCAAACGCTGCACTGCCTTCATCTCCATGCACGCCACCACTGTCACCTTGTCCAGAATGAGTTGGCGCCATTTGATTCGGTTCGCCGTTTCCTGCTGCTGCACCAGTGGTGGACATTATCGGCATCACAACGGGCAAAATCACTGGAAGTGGGTTAGCTGCGCCACCGAAGCCTGGCCTAAAAACGAATTGAACACGCTGAAAATCCAGTTTCTTTCTTTCTCTTCTCGCATAATTTCCCATATTCTACAAGCGAACAAAATCAAATATCGAATGTTTAGCAATATGTGTTCAGCTTCTGTGCCTTCATCACGAAGATTTTCTGTTTTATGTATTTCAAGCTAAACACGTAAGCAGAAATTCTTCGTGGCGACAACACATGAAGCTTATTGATGCGAAATTCATAGCTTTAATTTGTGAATGTTTTACATATGCCGGTTTGCAGTCGAAA